GGTGGTGACTTCCAAGCAGAGGCCCGTCACCTCCTGCGCTTGTACCGGGGAGAAAAAGAAATTCCTGTCCGGACTGGAAGAAGGGGCGGCAGAGGTGCCCTTCGGCCTGCGCTGCCGGCACGGAGCGCACCGTGTGTTCGGAGGCCCCTCCACACGACCACCGTGCTGTCTCGCGCCCTCCGCTCGCTCGTCTCTGCTCGGGCGCCGCGTGTCCATCTTGTCTGAGCTGTGCTGTAATTACAGCTCTGCGCACGCAGCTTCTTACATCTGGCCTTTCGCTTCTACCACTATTTTTCCTCTACCTGACACCATGCAATTACCAGCTCTCTGCCTCCTCGTGGAACAAACACACCTCATCCCCACCCTGCTAATGAGGCGATTAGAGGGATCTCGCAGCGACCCTGCGCTCCCTCCACACCTGGGTCACCTGCAGACAGCCGGGGGCCGCGGGGCCGCTCTCCGTCACACAGCCAGGGCTGACAACAGAGCCAGCCTCTCCCCGGAGGATGCCGGTAGCAGCGGAGGTAGCCGCTGGAGCCGTCCCAGCACTGCAGTTAGAAGTCCCTGGACGAGCCCGCGTGCAACAGGCACGTGGGCACTCCTTGCTAGCCCGCCCCTGCTCCAGAGACGTGCCAGCCCCCAACTTCCCCCTGCCACACGCCCCTCCGAGCTGACGGCTCCCAAGCTGATCCTGCCTGTCACCATGGCCCGTGAGACAGGGCTCTTTTTCAAGCGCCGTCCTCACTCTGCAAGCAGCCATGGTGGCTGGGATGTTTGGCTTGCTAACCAGAAGACAGGTGCATCTCCTCGCGCCCAGAGCCTTCGCGTGCACGCATGGAATGCAAGTCCTTTGATGCGATGTCTCTCTGGGGGCTCGGGTCTGAGTACTCTCCATAGAGACCAAGGCAGGGTCCTTCCCCGGTGACCAGTAAGGAAGCCTGGCCCTGTTGGGGAGTTGCTGACTTCTCGTGCGGGATGGAGCAGATCATTCTTCCTGTGACCAGGGAGGTAGACAGAGCAGGAGCCCTGGCGGTTGCGTGGACAGAAGTGGGTTCTGTGGCTGTCTGCAGGCCTGCCGTGGGTGGCCAGCGTCCCCTGGTGCAGCAGGAGGGGCCTGGTTCAGCGCGGGGCCTTCCAGAGTCCCGTCCCACGTCTAGCCGTGGGCAGCAGCCTGCCTGTGAAGAGGAGGTGTCGCGTCACCGAGGCATGGAGAAGGGATGGCCACCGAGTGATTGTGGGAGTGGCCTGCTCCCCCTCAGGCCTCGCTCCTGCGCGGGGCTGCGTGGGGGCTGCGTCTCGCCACGGGCCCTCCAGACCTGCTCGTTACCCTTGCCAGCCCACGGCCGTCCCAAGGCGTCAGAAGCTCCTGGCACCCCTCCTGTCGTGGGGCCACGGTCTTCGGGCCTGCCTGGGACCCCGCATTGTTGGCTTTTACACAGTCTTGAAATACTTCAGGACTTGGGGCATAAGGCAGAATCCTACCGTTTTAACCCCTGAAGTGAATGTGCTGATTGTTTTTTTCTGATGATGTAAGGAATGCATGCTCCTTGTGAAAACTGAGGACGAGGGAGCCAGAAGTGACCAGCTGGCCAGGCTAGCCCGGCCTTCGGACCTCCCTGTGTGCACCGTACACACAGGCGTTTTATTTTTGTGTGTGTAATGAGGTCTCCGCATCGTCTAAAATGAGATTGAGCAAGTCATCTGCCTCTTTTTTTTTTTTTTTTTGGTCGGCTGTGGGGCTTGAACTCTGGGTCTGGGCGCTGTCCCTCAGCTCTTCAGCTCAAGGCGAGCGCTCTACCACTTGAGCTACAGCGCCACTTCTGGTTTTCTGGTGGTTTATTGGAGATAGGAGTCTCACCGTCTCTCCTGCCGGGCTGGCTTTGAACCGCGATCCTCAGATCTCAGCCTCCTGAGTAGCTAGGATTACAGGCGTGAGCCACCAGCGCCCGGCTCATCTGCCTCTTGTATAAGCTGTGTCTTGTATTTTATTTTTATTTCATTTATTTATTTATACTTTGGTCGCTGTCCCTCAGCTCTTCAGCTCAAGGCGAGCGCTCTACCACTTGAGCCACAGCGCCACTTCCAGTTTTCTGGTAATTGGAGATAAGAGTCCCACAGACTTTCCTGCCCAGGCTGTTACAATCCTCAGCTCTTAGCCTCCTGAGTAGCTAGGATTACAGTGTGAGCCACCAGTGCCTGGCAAGCTGTGTCTTTGAAGTCCGCAGGTCTTGAATCCTTCCAAGCCTTTGAGGTTAGAAGTCCTCTCGTTCACATTTGAAATGTTTTATACAAGGAATTGCATAACATAATTCTAAAAGATCTAAAAACACGTAAATAACAATGTAAGAATGCTGTTTACATCCTGTGTTAGAACAGCCCTTTGCTGGACAGTCCTGTGTGTGTCAATCAAGTTGGGAGAAGGCCCTACCATCCTAGTGCTCCTCAAGGCGGGAATTCTGACTGGCTAGGCTGCGGTTTCATCTCGCACATCGGTGTCAGTGGTGTCTGCCTGTCCTGCTCAGCACCCCGGCCTGGTATGTGGGGTGGTCAAGAGCCTCGTGCTAGGGGATCCCGGGTTAGATTAATCGGCGTCTTGCTTGGTAACCCTACAAGGTTACCCAGCCAGTGCTCAGGAAACCCAACCAAGAGGGATGTGGGTTAGGGGAGGGCAGAGAGGGCAAGAGCTGGCAGAAGGGGCGTGCGTGCCATCGCGCTGGGGCTTGGCTCAGCCCATCTTCCCAGCCAAACTGTGGGCCTTGAAACAGGCACTGGCAGCCGCGGCCCACATGGCCATCCATGCCTCTGTGACAGCATGGTGGCCTTTGGAGGTGGCCAGGCCACTGAGAGAGAGGTCTGGGCCTGCACCATGTGCGCCTCTGCTTGCTGCACGCACGGCTGGGCTTGCAGCCCCAGTGAAAAGCGCGGACCAGCACCAGGGAGGCGGAGCAGCTGTCCAGGGAGCCAACTCACCTCGAGATCGACATCTGGGGGTCAAACCCATAAGCATACACTTCACCCCCCTCGCTCTCCCTCAGCCCCAAGACACGCTTTCCAACGGCACCCCCATGTGGCCCTGGAGGTCCTTGATAAACATTCCCGTTAGGTGTCTCATACCCACTAGGGCTTCCGGCCTCTGCTCCAGCCCTGCTGGGTTCTCTGGGAGGAGAAGGGCTTGCGTCAAGGGGGTGGGTGCTCCGGACTTCGGGCCGTGGCACCGACAGAGGCCTGCCTCCTCACTGGCTCTGGCCATGCATGAGCAGATCACGCGGGTGGGATCGTGCTCACTGTGATTCTTGAGCAGCAGGGCTGCTGCCTGTGCGGGGAGCGAGAATAGTAAGACTGAAGTTTTGCGTGTGCTAAAACTCAGCTTGCTACGCTTAAAATTCTACACATCGTGAGTCCCTGGCTTCAAATGAGAGGGAGGGAAAAGCGGTCCTTCCTGTCGCAGCCTAAAAATAAACCGCCAACAAGGAGAGCGCGCGTCTGCACAGAGCAGGTCGGAGGCTTGCGAGCACCACGCGGGGTCCTCGGAGCTCAGACCTCCGCCGGCACCACGTGTGCACGGTCCACGCGGCGGGCAGACGGTCTGGAGTTGTTGCGCATTAGGAAGTGGGGGACATGACCCGACGAGCCCTAGCCCAGCTCGGGGGCCCCAGGATGAGTCCTGGCTTGTGCGTGATGGTCAGGATTCGTGCACCAGGCACAGACTGGCACTTCAGTCTCGTGGCAGGTGTCCTCCATAGCCTCGCAAGCTCCGTCCTCCGTGTGTCCCCATTTCTCAGCTGAGGAAACAGCCTGGCTCTCAGCAGTGGGTGGCAGAGCGGGTTCTGAAGGCCCCCCCCCCTCCTCTCTCCTGACCCCTGGCTCCTCCATTCCATTAAAACCATCTCTCCAGCCACTCCCCAGGTCAGAGCAGGTCCTCAGAGCTCAGCCAGATCCTCCCACCACTGCCCCCACTCCCCACGCAGGGAGCTGGCCACGCAGCCTCCCTCCTCGCTCGACTGCCCTTGTAAACTGAGGATAATAAGGCCCACCTCATCAGGTGAGGATTAGAGGAGATAATGAGCGTAAGTCCTTCCTGGTCCTGCCTGGTGTATCTCCAGTCTCGCCAAATCCGTGCCTTGTGCCCTGTGCGATCGCAGTCCCCGGAGCTCAGTTCTCATCGTCCAGTCCATTCTTGGGCTTTGGGTTTTGTTGCTTACTTGACCACAGTTTCAGGTCTATTTATTCTGATGACTGCAGCAGAGGAGATGTTGTAAAGAGCCTCAGACCCCAGCTGCTGCCTTGGTGAGAACGCCTCCGCACTGCCTACAGCCCTGCCCCGCGCCGCCCGCCCGCAGCCCGTGCGGCCTTGTTGGCGGAATCCCCACTTAGAAAACGTCTTAAATTCTTCAGTGTCACACGCGTGCGGTCACATGGGTCTCTTATGGGTCTGCTCTTCCCAGAGCAGTTTGCCAGAGTTCCCCACTCCAGCGGGCACCTTGGCCCGGGCCTGGACTGTGCCCTGGGCTTGCCTTCTGCATGGGTCACAAGCATTTTAGGAAGGTTTCCTCAGTTCCCCGCAGGGCCCCGGGGACCAGCCTGCTGCCCTAGAGGCCCAAGGCCCTGGGCCAGGTGGGAGGCTGCAGGGAGCTCTCACGCTGCGGGGTGGAGCTTGGGGTTCCCCCCCATCCTTTGGCAAAGTGCGGTATCACACACTTCATTTGCCATCAGTATGATGGTGCAGAGCTCTCTTTTTCCATGAAAACAACACAGAACAAAGCTTCACTTTTAAAAATGCCATGATATTTTGCCACCCTTATGAAAATCTGTCAGCGCTGTATCTAATCTTCTGGTGCATAGAATATCAAAACGCGCGCTATTGAAGGCATGGCGCCTCTGTTAATACAAAAATGTCAGCTTCCCAGCCTCAGAGCCAGCTGCCGTCAGCCTTTCCAAATGAGAAAGAAAAAAAAAATACTAAAGTTTCTTTCCCTCGCTGTTCTGTTCCCGTCCCCCAGGCCCGACCCTCGTCAGCAGACCCAGAGCAAACACCGCCTCGCCCAGCTCCTGCGCTCAGAATACTCAAGTGGGCTGGGGGCCAGTGCCCAGGCCTCGAAGCGAGGCGCCCAGGAGGCCCCGCGGCCGTGGGAACGCTGAAGCCACTCCCCGCCACCCAGAGAACCTGGAGGCCAACCCAGGACAGTAAAGCTGCTCAGCAAGCCTTTGTGCATCGATCTGGACTGCTGTCCCGTTCTGAGGAGCCTCTGAGAAAGGAATGACACCCCACCCTGCGTGCCCAGTCGCCAAGGCCTGGAGCCCCACACCAGTCCACCGCTGTGTCCCCCAGACACCGCCCCAGACACCCCAGACCACACCTGCCAAGAAGCTGCTTCCTGGGGCAACGCCACCGCCACCGCTGTGTTGTGTATTGGCACGGGTTTTAAAAACTGGAAATGAGCTTATGTAAAAGGGGAAAGTATGTGTCACTTACTTTCTTAATATACAAATGCTTTGTTACCTGAACCACAAGTTTCGGTGTGGGTGGGAGCCCCAGGCCTTGGCAGTGCTGGTGGGCGCGTCCTCCTCCAAACTGCATTGTCCACGCCCCTCCCCCTTGCATGTCCACACATCTCTCTCTCTTAGGGCTAATTGATTTACTGTTGCCTTTTTATTATTTGCCTTTGAAGTCAGAAGGCACCAGCGCCCGAGCTGCTTTTTCCCATCCAATCCCAGCTTGTCTTTAAGAAAGGTCTGGGGCCTTTGTGTTGTGACCCAGACCCCAGATCCCCTCGACCCCCATTGTATTTTCTGGGAGGTTTGAAAGAAGACCCCTGGAGCGTATTGATTTCCCAATAAATGTAAGATTTGGACATTACAGAGAGGCCCACAAGAGAAAGGGTTAAAGTGTAACACGGCTCTATCTCAGCCCGTGCTGTGTTCTCCCCGCTTCTGAAGGCAGATCTGTGAAGCCTGGGACCGAGGCGCCCAGGGACACGCCTGAGCCCCGTGAGCTGAACGGCCAGGAGAGGGGGTGCGGGCCTGCGGAGATGAGTTTGATCCAGACAATTGTGTGACGAAAACGTAGTCCTCAGGCCAGGCTGTGGTGAGAATTAGCAGGAACCACTGGTGAAATTTGTAACAATAATTACACCAATAAAAACCACAGCACATGTCACGCCCACTAGGGCAAGTCTGCCCCCTTTATTTCCCTGGGTTAGCAGTGTAGACAGGAAAAGGAAGGATGGGGCTTGGGGATGGTCAGAGACCCCCTCCTGGGACATTGCACGGGGCTGCATTCCCGAAGGAACAGGTCAGACTCCTCCCGAAGAGTGATGTTTACACTTTTACACTTGTGAAGGTGGAGGTAACTTTCCAGAAACACTAGTGGGCCTGCTTCTAAGCAAAATTAATAAATCACCTAGTTAATAAACATGGATTTAGCAGATTTAGGGTTAATATTGTCTAAGTTTAAATAACCTTAAAATAAATCTCTTTTTGCTGCTCTTGACAGATTATACATTTCAGGTATCAATTAGGCAAAGCTTTAGCCTAATTCCACAACACATTCTAATTTTGTGTGTATTTTTAATCATGGCTCTTTGCTATTTTTCTTTGCTAACCATTTCCCTGACATCAGGCTGGTTGCCACATTAAAATCAGAGACTTTGGAATTGGACTAGAACGCTGAAGCTATAGCTTTTTCCTCCAGTGGGCTTGTAAAATGCTATTTTGGGGCTTTTTTTAGTCGGTTGTAGGGCCTGAACTTTAGGCCTGGGTGCTGTCCCTCAGCTCTTCAGCTCAAGGTTAGTGCTCTACCACTTGAGCCACAGCGCCACTTCAGGCTTTGTCTGCTTATGTGGTGCTGAGGCGTGGAACTCAGGGCCTCATGCCTGTGAAGCAAGCCCCCTACCACTGAGCCACCTTCCCAGCCCCAGAAAATGCTATTTTTGGAACCCGGAGTAACCCTAGCTGTCCACCTCTCTCCCATCCCCATGCTGCCCTTCTATGCACGGGAGAGCTGAGGGCCTTGGAGAGGCCTGGGTCAGCCAGTGCCATCCAAAGAATGTCTCCACCCCCAGGACAGCCTAGCAAGTTTTCATTTTTCCTTTTTTTCCCTGGAGTGAAAGGTGGGTTGGTGTAGAGCAGGAAATAGAAATCTCCCAAGCCAGGCACATTAGCATTTCCACACAGTGCAATCCCTTAAAACCCAGTCACCGCCACCCAGAGACAGAAATCGAGGGCTTTTCCCCCAGAAAACTTAATAAGCTTGCAACGGTGCTTAGCTGAGCTTAACTAAGTCACCGTTAAACTTTTATCTCTTCACATGCTCCATCAGGAAAAACAGAGCCAAGTCCATCGGTGAGGGGGTCATGGCACCCTTAAAACCAGCCAGACGCCCACCCCCCAGAAGCCTGGGGCTTCTGAAGGCTCGGCTTCCGGAGGAAAGGGTTGAAATTCTCTTAAGCTTTGTTGCGGCTCACGGTAGCCAAGGAGCCCAGAAAATGGCTCCTCACTCCCCTGGGGTTGCCCGCTCCCTCTTTGCCTTCTATTTCATTGCGCTCACCCAGCCCCAAGGTTGGGAACTGAGAAGCCAATTTAGCCTTTTAAATGGATGGAAGGAGCCCACCTCGCTGCTGCCAGAGGTGGTGGAGTTATTATTACCGATGCGACGTGCGGGACAATTTAGAATATTGTCATTATAAACTTGTAGGGAAGGCTTGTTCTTCATTAATGTACGCTGCGAAGTCGCCCCTGCGGTACAAGGACAATTACATAGTGGAGAATGTGTGTGCGGTTTACACTGCGCTGTGTAAATGTGAGGGTGGTGGCTCTGCCTTCCTCCTCCACTTCCACAAAATGAAAAGCAACCAGTGCAAGTTGTCCTTTGATAGATTTTTAATATGATTTTAAAGAGTTTTGTTTGGTCTCATTCTTATTCAATGAGATTAATTTAAAGCACTTATCCCCCTGGGTTTAAGTCAATCCGTGTAGGATTTGGGCAGGGTTTGTTGCTTGGGGGGTTTTGTTTGCAGGAGGCTGTGAGAGACTCCTCGCCTACTTCATTAACCCTGAGTTGGGGACCGTCCCCCGCGACCCCCGCCGCCGCGGAGCTGGGGATTTACCAGCCCCCATTCACATGCAAAAGCCGAGGGGCTCCTTGACTTAATTAGCTGCTGTGCATTTTGCAAAATTAGAATAATACCCTCTCCGTCCCCGCAAGAAAAGCCCGCCCGGGGCGGGGCGGGGACCGCAGCGGACCGGCGTTTTGGGGGGTGACCGGCCTGCACGCGCACCCCCAAACCAGCCACCCGGCTCCCCCACGGTGGCCCCGCCGGGGAGGGGGTGGGGCGCCCTTGGGGTGCAGGCATCCGGGCTTTCGGCGGCGGGTGGCGGGGAGGGGCGCACCTGCGCCCACTTTTCCAGGAGCAGGCCGGGCCGCGGGAGGCGGGAGGTGACCCCGGCTCGAGTGATCTGCGGCCCGGAGCCCGGCCGGGGGCCCGAGCTTCCCCCCCCCCCCCCCACCCCGCCCTTCGCCTCCCCCAGGTCCTGGAGCCCCGGGCCGGGGCGGTGGGAAGGTCGGGCCCGGGCATTCCCGGGGTTCGGCTGCCCTTTTGTTGACCGGGGAGCACAGGGGTCCCCCAAGGTGGCGCCAGGCCCGCGGCGGCGGCACGGGAGCCCGGGGTCGCGGCGGCGGGCGGGGCGGCGGGGAGCGGCCTCGTTGCCCATCTGTCGCCCGCGCCCCGCGCCCCGCGGGCCGGTCACCAGCTGCCGGCGGGGCCCGGGCCGCCCCCCCCCCCCCGGACGTGCGCGGGCAGCCGGGCGCCGGATGAGGAGCGCGGGCGCGCGGGGGACCCGGCCGGGCCCGCGCGGGGAGGGGCCGCACCCAGGCACCGGCGCGGACCGTTTGTAAGAAGTTTATTTTCACATTTAAAAAAGAGGAGAAGCCGCGGGGCCTGGCCGCCCCGGGACGGGGCCCCGCGGGCCACAGACTCACTGGGTCACGGACACGGTCACGGGCGCATGGGTCACGAATAAATAACTTCATATACACTTTGCACACGGTATGTACAGCGCGGCCGCGGCCCCGGGGCGGCGGGGCCGGGGGCCTGGCGGGCGCGTCCCCCCCCCCGCCCGCGCCCGGGGGGCCCCGCGGGGACTCGGGGGCGCGCGCGGCGGGCGGGCGCGCGCTCACCGAGGCTGCGCGGCGCGCGGGAGGACGCCCGCCAGCGGGGGCAGCGGCGGCGGCGGCTCGCTGGCGCCCTGCAGCCCGTGGATGAGGATGCGGGGCACCAGCGGCCTCTGCAGCGCGGGCGGCGGCGCGCTGGGGCCGCGGTACAGGTAGAGCGCGGCGCCGGGGTCCAGGTTGGACACGAGGCTCTGCGGGTAGAAGTACGGCGACGGGAACATCCTCTGCAGCGCCGAGTAGTTGCCGGCCTCCGCCAGCAGCTCCAGCCCCACGGCCGTCTGCCGCTTCCACTTCGTCCTGGGGACCGAAAGGCACGCAGTCAGCGGGGTCGGCGCGCGGCGCGCGGGCACGCACCCCCTGGCCTGCACGGGGCTCGGGCACGCGCGTCCTGGTCTGCACAGGGCTCGGGCACGCGCCCCGGGCCTGCACGGGGCTCGGGCACGCGCGTCCTGGTCTGCACGGGGCTCGGGCACGCGCCCCGGGCCTGCACGGGGCTCGGGCACGCGCCCCGGGCCTGCACGGGGCTCGGGCACGCGCGTCCTGGTCTGCACGGGGCTCGGGCACGCGCCCCGGGCCTGCGCGGCGCTCGGGCACGCGCGTCCTGGCCTGCGCGGCGCTCGGGCACGCACCCCCTGGCCTGCACGGGGCTCGGGCACGCGCGTCCTGGTCTGCACGGGGCTCGGGCACGCGCCCCGGGCCTGCACGGGGCTCGGGCACACGCGTCCTGGTCTGCACGGGGCTCGGGCACGCGCCCCGGGCCTGCGCGGCGCTCGGGCACGCGCGTCCTGGCCTGCGCGGCGCTCGGGCACGCGCTCGGGGCCTGCACGGGGCTTGGGCACGCGCGTCCTGGCCTGAGCGGCGCTCGGGCACGCGCGCCCCGGCCCCCGGCCCTCGCGAGCCTGCGCGGCCCCGCGCGGCCCAGTCCCCACTGCACAGAGCCCCAGCCAATGAGTGGAAGCTCCAGGTAACAAGTTCGAGTCCCGATCTCGGGCCAAAGAAGACAGAGATTAAAACCCGGGTGGCCTGCCGTGACCATCGCCCCACGTAGCAGATAAAAGTGGGCAGAGCTCAGCGCCTGCTCCAGGCCTGGCCGCCCGGCCCCGAAGCCCACGGGCCACTCTCTCCCCGGGTTGCTGCAGAGGCTCCTGGAGACAACGGTTGGGGCTCCCTCACACAGACCCCAAAGGACCTGTGACTGCGGGGTCACCGAGGGGCAACCCCACGCCTCGGCTCTACCGAAGGCGGGGTTGCGACTGGAGACAGCGCAGCAGAATGAGCCCGGGAGCGGCCCGAGGCCCGGGGCTGCCCCGCGCGCGAACTTCAGACACCCGGGCTCGGGGGCCTGGGGCGGGCGGGCGGGCTTAGCGTTAGCAGGCCTCGGCTCGGCTCGGCTCACCTGCAGGCCTGGCTGGCAGGCCCGCCCCACTGAGGGGGGCTCGGCCACAGCACCCCCATTTCCCTCCCTGAATTATTCATCGCCATCATAATTGTGTAATTACTGAAACGGGCCTTAATTATTGATGCCTGGAGCAGTAATCGGTATCCATTATTAATAGGGCTGTGGGCTCCGTGGCTGGTTTATGGAGAGCGCCGGTCCTGTCCCGCTCGGGGCGGGTGTGAGTGTGTCACCACGCGGGCCGGCGGGTGTGCGAGTGTCACCACGCGAGCCGGGCGCCCGCTCCCCCCCCATCCCCGCGTGTCTATATCCCAGGAGCACGGGCGGGGACCGGGACACGGGTTCAGACCGGCAGCCGGCCCCCTGGCCCGGCCGGCGGTCCCTGCGCGGTCCCGGCCGCCTCCCTCCGGGCCCGGGGTTTCGTTCCGGAGGATTCCCCGAGGCGGCCCCGTCCCCGCCCGCGCGGCCTCACCTGCGGTTCTGGTACCAGGTCTTGACCTGCGTGTCGGTGAGGTTGAGCGAGGCGGCCAGCTCCATGCGGTCCTGCACGCTCAGGTACTTCTGCCGCTCGAAGCTGCGCTCCAGCTGCGCCAGCTGATGGTCGGTGAAGGCCGTGCGCGCCTTGCGCGGCTTCTTGAGGCGCACGGGCGGGCTGTCCCGGGAGCTGGAGATCTCGCGGTCGCCCTCCTCCTTCACTGCGGGGACAGGCGGCGCTCAGGGCCCGGCCGGCCGTCCCCGCGGGGCGGGGCGGGGACCAGGCCGAGCCCGGGGACGCGGGGACTCGCCGGGCGGGTGGACGCCCCGGCTGGGCCGCAGCTGGCGGGGCGAAGGGAGGGAGCGGAGAACAGGGTCTGGGGAGAGGACTCGCCTGGGGGACAAACACCGGCTCACCCCGCAGCGACCCCCTGGCCCCAGGATCGAGTCCCGGCGCCCACACCCCGCGGGCGCCCCGCGCGGGGTCGGATCCGTGGAGCCGGGTTTGCACGGCGGGCCGTGAGGCGGAGGAGCCGACGCCCAGGCCCGGGCCGCGGCGCCCGCGTGGCCAGGGGCGCGGGGTCCGGGATCGGGAGGGGGGCCCCGGCCTCCGAGGCCCCGGCCCTGGGCCCCTGAGACCCCAGCCTCGGCCCCGGGCTCCGCCTCGGCCCCCAAGGCCCCGACCCGGATCCCAAGGCCCCGGCCCCCGAGGCCCGGGCTGGGCCCACCGGGAGGTTTTCTTCCTCCCGCTTTCGCTCGTATAGAAAACACGAGCTGCACGGAGCGAGTTCACCGCGGCTCTCCTCCTCCTCCTCTTCCTCCCTAAACCCAACCCGACGGAAGGGGCCGAGCCCCGCCCGCACCCCTTCCACGGCGAGTGTCACCGCGTGCAGCTGAGCGCGAGGCCATCTCTCTCTGTGGGAAACAATAATCCGGTTAATTGAGCCACGAGGGAGCCGGGCTTTCCGGCCGGAACGGCCGCCCTTCCCGGCCAGAGGGCGCGGGGCCTGCGGGAGAGGCGGCGGCGCGGGGCGCCGGGCGGGGGCGCGGGCCTCCCGGGACCCCCCACCCTCCGCAGACGCAGCCGTGTTCCGTGTTCCGGAAAGTGCGAACAGGTTTGGGGAAACCGTTCTCCAAGCCTCAGACTCCACCGTGCAGAACTTTCACTTTCTGACCATTTCCCGATGACCGAGGAGATCCCCCTTTGGAGAGAACGGGTCGGCCACTGAGGCTGTGGAACTCCAGGTCCCCCAGAGCTGCGGGCCGGGGCCTGGAGGGCCCCCTCCCCACGCCCCGATCGCCCCCAGCCCGGCTCAGCCGGGCGGCCTCCACTTCCCAGAATCTGGTCCCCAAGCCGCCGCGGCAGCGGCGTTCAGGTCCCGAGCCCTGGCTGGCGTGCAACAGTCAGGCAGCGTTGTTTTAGTTTCTTCCAGCACCTTGGGGGACAGGTGTCAGCTTCCTTCACTATTGCCTATGAAGAGCCTTTCGTACAGGCACTGGGGGTGAGATTGGCCTGCTCCCCAATAAATGTCTCCACCAGCAGTTGGCCGGCACAGTCTCTCAGACTTTCCCAACTTAGACTCTGACAAAGTCACCTCCGTGTTGGAGAACTGCTCCGGGCCCAGCCTGGACAGGGCTTCCAGCTGCCGTTCTCACTCCCAGACTTTTCCGGGTGTGAAGGCCTGTGGAGGAGACCCTCCCTCTCCAGGGCTCCTGCAGTTCTATTTAGAGGACATGGACACAGCCAGTCCTCATCACCTCCCTGATCAGATATCACCGGGGTCGGGAGAGGGAAATTGATATTCCAATGATCTTAAACGAAACGGAACCTCTTCTCAAAATCCTACCTACTTGGGAGCAAAGACATAAAAGAGCTGAACTGTTCATGTGGCACCGGCCGGTGCCCGGTGCACCTCTAGCTTCAGCTACAAAGCTGGGGCTGGTAATCGCCGCAGCCCATAAATAATACAATGTGGTGCTGTAAATTATATTTACATTAACCCCTCCCTTGCCTTTCTCCAAGGCAAGTTTTGTTTTGTTTTGTTTTGTTTTGTTTTTGCCTCTGTAAGCAGGCCCCTAGGAGAGAAAGGTGATTAGACTCAGGTGCTGGTTGAGCCATGGCCTCTCCCTGCGTGCTGGAGTTCAACTTGTACATTTTCTTAGAGATGGTGGATAGGTCCAGCCCAGCCGGAGCAAGCTTGGCCAGGTCCATGGAGGAAATAAAGATAGTTTCCTTCCCTGGAGTTAGAATCTGCCACCAAGTGAATGTTGGCTTGGGAGGCACAAGTTAAACGAGTCCTCCCCAATATTTGGTACAAATAGAAGCTCGGAGACGCAGGCAGGCCCGCAAAGCACGACCAGCGGCCCTTCTAACGAAGGAGCAGCTGCAAAGGGCTTTCATTTGGATTTCATTTGGATAGAGAAAAGCCTCCGGACAGCCCCGGTTTTCTGCTGGTCGAGGAGCTCTGAAGCCGGGATCTCCTTCAGCATCTGCCTCTCGCTTTCCTCCTACAAAGAACTTTCTGCCTCTGCGCCCACCGACAGCCCGAGTCAGGACAGCGGCTAAGGCTCTAAAACGAAATTAAGGAACCTTTTCTCTCCCTCTTCCCTTTTCTTTTTCCATTTTTCCTTTCTCCGTTCCTGCTTCTTTCCTCTTAGCCCAGCTCCTCGGTTAAAATGGAACAAAAAGGAACAATAACAAAAACCAATGTGGGGATGGGGGGGGCAATGGAGAGGCGGCGTCCGACCGGGGCTGGGGCTGGGGCCGCCCGCCCCGCCGCTCTGGGGCTCGGGGCTGGGGCTGGGACTGGGGCTCGGGGCTGGGGCTGGGACTGGGGCTCGGGGCTGGGGCTGGGACTGGGGCTCGGGGCTGGGGCTGGGACTGGGGCTCGGGGCTGGGGCTGGGGCCGCCGGCCCCGCCGCTCTGGGGCTCGGGGCTGGGGCTGGGACTGGGGCTCGGGGCTGGGGCTGGGACTGGGGCTCGGGGCTGGGGCTGGGGCCGCCCGCCCCGCCGCTCTGGGGCTCGGGGCTGGGGCTGGGACTGGGGCTCGGGGCTGGGGCCGCCCGCCCCGCTCTGGGGCTCGGGCTGGGGCTGGGACCGCGCGCCCCGCCGCTCGGGACCTGGGGCTCGGGGCTCGCTCCAGCACTTAAAACCAAACCCACGGAGGAGACGGCGCGGCCTGGGGCCTTCCCTCCCCGCCGGACCTCGGGACCCAGCGAGCTCCGACCAGTAGCTGGGCCGCGGCTTCTCTCTAGAAGTGAGCTTTTCCTCTTCAAAATTCCCCGGCCCGGCGAGGGAGGACTCGGGGAGGACGGGAAGCTCCCCGCGGGCCCCAGGGCTCGCTTCCACCCCCGCCGCCCCGCCGGCCCGGCAGGCGGCTCGGCCCGGCCCCGCTGGCGGGGTCAGCGGGCCAGGTGGAAGTTGAGAAAGTTTGCTTGGTGGGCTTGTGGAATCGCCGCCCGTCCGGCACGCGGGGCCCCTTGCCGGCCCCGGGTCTCCACGGAGGCCCGGCCCGTGGAGCGGGCGGGAAGGGCCGGGCGCGTTCGTTGGCGCGTTTCGGATCCCGGGTTTTGAGAAGCGCCCGTGCCCCCCCCCCCCTCGTGCCCGGTCGTCGCGGGCTTTCTTACCTTTGTATTCCGAATCCGAAGACGTGGTGCTGCCGTTTTTGTCTAGCTTCTCGCGGAAGTCCTCCCCGGCCTTGGCCGAGAGGCGGCCCCCGGGCTCGGGGCCCGCGGGCGGCCCGCAGCTCGAGTAGGGCGCGCAGGCCGCCAGGGGCTTGCAGTCGGCGAGGATGTCCCTGATCAGAAAGGAGGAGGTGACGGTGCGCGACTGGGCCGGCGCCGAGAGCGGCCCGGGCGGCAGGTGAGCGTCCAAGGCCGGGCCCGGCGGGGCGCCGGGCCGCGGGGCGCCCGTCTCCAGACAGTCCCTCCCCGGCGAGGCTGGCGAAGAGCAGTCGCTGCTGCTTTCCGAGCGCGGGCTCAGCTCCAGGGGTGAGCGGCAGTCCCCGAGCAAGGGGTCCCCCTTGGGAAGGGCGGGGCTGCCCGCCCGGTGGGAGAGGATGGAGTCGATCCCGAAGCCATTGGAGCCTTCCATAGCCGAGCCGCGCGCGGTCCTTCCCCGGAGCGCCCCACCCACCCGCCGCCCGGGCCGCCGCCGCCCCGGCCCCCTAGCTGCGGGCCGGCATGGGGCAGGCGGGCAGCGGGCCGCGGGCGCCTTGGACGGAGTTCAGCCTCGGGGGAGCCCGGGAGCTCTGGGCCAGCCTCCGGCGCGCATTGGATCCAAAAAGGGCTGAGCGCGTCAGGTGCGGCCCCGCGGAGCCGCCGAGCCGAGGGGGGGAGGTGGGAGTGTCGGGAGGAAGGGGCGGAGGGCCGGCGCCGGGGCGAGCCGAGGGGAGCCGCGCGGCCACAGGCCCCTCCGGCCCCGGAGACGCGCGGCCGTGCCCGAGCCCAGACAGCCACCGGCTTCCAAACCCAGCCCCGAAGCGCTGGGCCCGCGGCGGCCCGAGGGCGGCGGGGTCAGCACCGCGGAGAGCGGCGGCCGGGCCCGGGCTAGCGGCCGGCCGCGCCGAGCGCACCTGCGGCCGTCAGCACCGCGGAGAGCGGCGGCGCGCGGCCCATGACGCCCCGCACCTGCGGGGCCCCCGCGCGGCCCGCGGCCCGCGCCCCGCGCCGTCAGCACCGCGGACAGCGCCCCGCGGCTCCCGGCCGCCGCTCCCGCTCTCCGCGCCTCCGCCGCGCGCCGTCGCCGTCCCCCCCGGCTTTACAAAAACGAACTTGTGTCACTTTTACTTTGGGGCCGGGATTTTTTCATTGTTGTTTCTCTTTCCTGGCGTGTTGTGTTTTCTGAGGGGACCCGCCCCCGGCCCCCGCAGCGCCGCCGCTGATTGGCTCGCGCGGATTTTGGCGGTGACGTCACGGCCCCGCCAGCCGCGGCCCGATTCCTTTCCAGTTTGATTAAAAGAGACACTGAATTAATTACCGCGCAGCCCCAACTGTTTACCGGCGATTTCCACGCGGTTTGCTCTCATTAGGCCGGTGATGAAGCCCCTAATGAGGGTGATTAGCCGCGGGGCGGGGCCGGCGCGGAGGCGGCCGGAGCCCGCGGCGGGGCGCGGGGCGCGGGGCTCCCGCGGCCGCCCGCGCTCCCCGCCCGCCGCGCTCCCGCACCCCGTCCTTCTGTCCTCCCCCGCGTTTTTCTTACGAGCGGGGAAGAAGTGTGCGTGCGTGTGTGCGTGCAAGAAGTCCCTTTCTTCGCGCGGAGAGGGACTGTTCGCGGGTGTGTTTCAGGGGCGTCTCCGCTGGTTCTAGACGTTTCCGGGTGGGAGTGTGCAGCCCTCTCCCCGGGCCTGCGAGGGCCCCGCGGCCCCGGCCCGGGGCGGCCAGGCCCGGAGTCCGTCCGGAAGGCGGCGGGGCCTGCGGCCCCCGGGGGCGCTTTTCACTCGGACCGGGACCGCGTACGAGTTTGCAGACTCCCGCGACGTCGGCTCGCGGCGGGCGCGGCTCGCCGGAGGGGGCCGCTTCCTAGGAGGGGTCGCGCGCGCCCCTCGCCCGCCGCCGGGCTCCCGAGCCGCGCCGCTGGCGGGTCCGGAACGCGCCGGGATCGAGACCCGCGGAGCGGAGCGGAGCGCGCGGGCCTGCGCCGCGGGACCGGCGGGCCGAGGCGCTGTTCTCCCCCGGGTCCGCCCGGAGGGCGCCCGGGCCCCTGGAAAACGGCCGGGGCCCGAGTCCCCGCCGGCGTCCCGGATCGGAGCCGCGAGGCGCCCGCTGCCCCCGAGCCCCGCGATGGGACTGGCGCGGCCCCGCCAAGCTCGTTCCTCCCGCGGCCTCCCGCCCGGCTCCCCGCGCTCCCCGGGCGCCCGCCAGCAGATTGGAGGCGGCCCCGCCGCGGGCGAGGCCCGGCCGCTCCCGGGGGACGGCGGCCCGGCTCGGCTGCAAGCTGTCGGGGAGGCGAGGGCGGGGCCCGGAGCCGAGCCGGGCGGGCGGCCGCGGCCCCGCAGGGCCCCTCCCTCCCCGACGCCGCCGTCGGCAGAAGCGCGCGAGGCCCCCGCGGGGGGCGGCGCCCCCTCCCGGGCCCCGGGCCGGCCGGCGGGGCCCGCAGGGAGCGGGCAGGCCCGGGCCTGGTGTCGGGAGCGAGGCCCGGGGCTGGTGTCGGGAGCGAGGCCCGGGCGGCCCCGCCGGAGCCGGGGTGCGGGAAGGAGGGCCGCGCCCGCGGGGAGCCCCGGCCTCCCGCAGCCCCGCTTCCCTCGGTTCCCAGGCCGTCAGGACGCAGTGAAGCTGCGGTTTCTTCCGCTTGGCAATTACTCTAGGCTTGGCCCTCACCTACCGAGTGCGTTGTGTTGTTTTTCTCCTTATTTGGGCGTTCCCAGGTCGAGGCCCCCTCCTCTCCTCCCCCCTCGGGGCCTGCAGGGGGGAGGACGGCTGAGCCCCACGGGGTGCACCCGGCAGCCCAAGCCCAGCGCCCACCCCGACCCCTCTCCCAGGGGCCCTGGATCCCCAATCCTCGTCTTGGCTGGGAATTTCATGCTTCAGATTCTAAAACCTACTTGCCCTGGAGATTTCGTCCTCCCTCCCTCCCCCGCCTCCTCTTTTTGTTTTCTTTTTGGCAACAGTGGGATTTGAACTCAGGTCTCCTTGCTAGGCAGGTGTTCTACCACTTGACCCATGATCCTGCTCCAGCCTTTTTGTGTTGCACGGGAACTGCTAACATCCTCGTCCTATAATCTTGCTCATCGCTGAGATTTATTAGCCAGTTAGACAACAGCTTTCATATAGACGTATATATATATGTGTGTGTATATATATATATGTGTGTATATATATATATATATATATATATATATATATATATTTGTTGGTCTTGAACTCTGGGCCTGGGTGCTGTCCCTCAGCAATTCAGCTCAAGGCGAGTGCTCTACTACTTGAGCCACAGCACCACTTAGGTATTTTGGTGGTTTATTGGAGATGGATCTCACAGACTTTCCTGCCCTGGATGGCTTTGAACTGTGATCTTCACATCACAGTTCACCCAGTCTCCTGAGTAGCTAGGATCGCAGCCACCGGTGCCTGGCTCTCTTTGAAATAATTAAACCTCTGTTGAACTCAAAGCCCTACCACATATAAGATCAGCGGTGGGAGAGGCAGGAGCCGCCCGGGTAGATGCCGGGACAAGACCTCAGAAGGCTCTGCGTGCGCTCTGCGTGCGCAGCTCACCTCTCCCACCACCACCTCAGCTTTTACTTTGGTACAAAGTCAGCAACATCAGAGCCTTTTGGGTCAGGGGTGGAGCTGGGAGACCCTGTGCCCTGCTGACCTGCTCAGCCACAGAGCTGGAGCTGGAGATAAAGGACTTCCTGCTGGCTTTGCTCACCTGCGTTCTGAGGACAGCTCCAGGGCAGATGGTGGTTTGTGGTTCTTCCAACTGCCAGTGGCTCGGCTGTGGTCGTTAGGGATAAGGACTCCAGAACGACCCGGACGCTCACAAACCTCTCTAGAACCCACGACTAGGACTTGGCTAGTTGTTACACAAAACTTTATTTTGGAATGATATTGCTGAGCACTGTCATCCTATCTATTCAGGAGGCTGAGATCTAAGGATCAAGGTTCAAAGCCAGCCCAGTAGGGAAAAGCCCACAAAATTCTTATCTCCAAGTAACCAGCAAGTAACCAGCAAAAAGCCAGAAGAGAAGGTGTGGGTCAGGTGGTAGAGTACCAGCTTTGAGTGAAAAGGCTAAGGGACTCCACCGAGGCCCCAAGTTCAAACTCTAGTGCTACACAATAAGTAGATAAATGAACGAATGAATAAATAAATGACATTTTCCTCCATCATGAGTTTTTAACGTTTGGTTGAAAAGATGGCAGTATAATGTCTTACTTGCTAACGTTTTATTGCTTCCCAAATTTCTCGCCTGTCTCAGACCAACCCAGCTCAACAGCCCTGAGAAAACTACATTAAAAACAAAGCACATTACTATCTTTCCCCTCAATGTCTCCCCCAGTCCAAAGATGGGGGCTATGTTCCTCTCTTCCCATAGTTATGCGAAATCCTCACGCTTGGCTCTGATCCAAAAGAAGAGAAATTATGCAATCCATGCCCCAGTGACCACCATATTAGCTGGGCTGGAGTTCATGCTTGGTCTCAACCCCAGTGTGTTCTGGCCCCGCCAGCCTCCCAAAGCCAGCTCCCTCCCTCTCCGCCCAAACCAAAGCCAGGCTGTTTTCCTGTTTGTTTTGGTCTGGTTTGTTTGGTCTGGGCCAGGAGATCCACATCTCTTTGCTCCGGAGACAAGTGGGTTGGGCAAAAGATGCACCAGACACGCCTCAAGCCCAGGATGTTCCTTGTGCTTGTTTGGGTCAAAACTCTAAGGGAGGATCCAGGATGGAGGCCAGCTAAGGAAACCGTTAGCTTGATCCCGTGAGGACGAACAAGCTGGACATGGTGTGACAAGGTAGGCATGTAATCCTCCCGGCAGAGTTGGGAGACTCCTGGGCTGAAGCGAAAGACTATCTGAACACTAGAGCCGAGTGACTGGGAGCATGACTCAAATGGTACCGCACTGCGCCCCAAACCAACCACCCATCCAATCATAAACCAACAACCAAAACCCTATGGGAGCTCCTGACACCAGGAACACAACATTCTCCCTCCCTCCCTCCCTCCTGCATGGCACACGGCACTCCATGCTTGTGCCTGAGTCTAGGAATGAGGAATGAGGACCGCGGTGGTGCCATCATCTGAGCCGCCTCGGAGGGCGGAGGCGCAGCTCCTGCCTGTGTGCTTGGGCCCTAAGTTCCATTCCCCCCCCCCAAAAAAATATATATCACATTCACAGACAATTTCCCATTTGTAGATTCAAATTTAGAATGTGTTTGAACTCAGTTCTAAGAACCTGTATAAAAAGCCAGCCTGGGGTGTCCCCGTTAAAGATGAGCTCAGCATGAAAGGGTTTTCCCAGCGGATAGGAAGTTTAGTTTGGCGCCTGGGTAAAAGAAAGGACCGGCCTTGGCTTCCGGCCGGACCCCAGCAGCGCAGCAGGCGCTCTGCTGGCTGCGGGAGAGCCACTGTCTAGCTGCTTCTAAGCCAGCACTAGTTGAGGTTCTGGATGGACGACTCCAAAATCCAAGCTAGGGCTGGGCGGGATTTCTGTAATCCCAGCACTCATAGCCTGGAGCCGGAGGATCTCAAAACTGAACCTGCGTGGCCTATATCAGGAGAGTGTGTTTTAAAAAATGAAAGTTAAAAGGCCAGGTATTGGTGGCTCATGCCTGCAATCCCAGCCACTCAGGAGGCTGAGATCTGAGGGTTGAGGTTTGAAGCCAGCCTGGCAGGAAAATCCATGAGACTTTAATCACCAATTAAATCTTAGAAAAAGCCAGAAGTAAGTGCAGAGCGCTAGCCTTGAGCAAAATGGAGCTCAGGGACTGCGCCCAAGCCCAGTTTGAGCCCCAGGACCAGCAAAAAGAAAAAGAAAAAGGCCAGGGTCAGAAACCTCCTGGGAAGTGCTTCCCTTTCTGGTTTCTAGAAGCTTCTGGAAGGCAAGTAGCAGACACAACCATTAACGACTACTCCTGTGGATTCTCCACTGGGGAGAATCCTTTGCCACAGTCAGACTTTATAACTTCCTTTCCTTTCTTCTGGCCAAGAGAATTATCTGGTTATACCAAAGAGAGAGGAGGGAGGGAGGGAGGGCAGGAGGCAGGTGCATGAATGAATGAGTGTACAGATGGGTGAATGACACCTGGGCTCTGTGGATCAGCCCCGCTGAGTTCCAGGGGCTCAGAACAGGAGGAGGTCTGTGCTGGTCCCGGCCTTGCTTCTGACTGGTTCTCCAAAGCTCTCTTCCCTGGTGACTTTCCACATATTCTCAGGCCCTTTCCAGAATTGTGAGTCCTTTAGGACTCACACTCTCGACACCCTTGTCCCCTCCCCTGCTCCCGCCTCCTGCCAGTGCTCATGGCAAGGGCACTGCCAGTCTTCCATCTCAGAAGGGAGCCCAGAGGAGGGTCCAGATCAGCTGGTCCTGTGGCTCACCGGTCTCTGGTTCCTGGGGTACTGTCAGGCCCGAGGCTGACCCTCCATGCCTCCATGCCACCTTCCTCACAGAGCATTATGGGATGTAATTACGAGGACTTTGTGAAGACCTTTGTAGGGTCAGGTTCTGGGACACACGGGAGATACCAGTGGTCTGTGGTCTTCTTTCCATCGTGGGTAGAGGTTGTCTAGGGAGGGAGGCCAGTAAGCTGAGCTTCCAGTCCCCCTGGCTGGAATCTTGGAGTACTCTATGCTGGGTCAGATGAGCAGACATGGATACACAATTACCCCCCGTCCCCCGTCCCCCCACACCAGGCTCAGGTGAGGACAGAGGTTTGGCTAGTGTGACAGGCATACCCAAGGAGGTGGGACCAGCCCGGAGTCACACTTGGGGCTTAAGTAAGGAAGAAGCAAGCCCTGGAGGGAGGGACTGTCTGAACAGCGGCAGAGCCTCTGCCTCCAACTCCCCAGCAGGTGGCGCTGTAGGACAAGGAGCTGGGGGGGGGGTGTCTGCAGAGGCGCCGTGGGCCAGGGCAGGAGGACCCAGGGCTGAGGACCCTGGAGGACGTCCGTCCAGGCTGGTGTTCCCGGGCGTCTGTGACAGTCCCTGGAGTCACTGGTGCATGGGGTGATTGAAGAGTTAATATCTGGAGTCCCTCTGCCTCTCGGTCAGACCCTCAGAAAGGCGGTTATGGGATGGCTGCATGCACGTGATGTCATGGACTTTCCACGGGGGGAGGGGGAGTCACCTGTCCTTTGAGGCACAGAGCCAATTCTGGGTCCTTCTGGAAACTTCTGCCTTGCCAAAGAGGACTTCAGAGCACAGAAGTGGCCTGGGGCAGGTATTGGTTATTCATGACTATAAATCCTAGCCACTTTAGGAGGATGGCCATTCCAAGCCAGCCCTGAGCGGACAGTCCATGAGACTCCAAAATAACCAGCAAAAGGCAGGTCTGAAGACATGGCATAAGTGGAAGTATGCTGGCCAAGCAGGCATAGCACCCTAAGTTCAAGTCCTAGTATCGCAAACTGATGTGCGCTCTCTCTCTCTCTCTCTCTCTCTCTCTCTCTCACACACACACACACACACACACACACACACACACACACACACACACACACACACACACACACACAGGTGGCCTGGATTCAAAGCATCAGGCTCTTCCCAGTGCATTTACCCTTCTGAACACCTGCCCCTAGTCAATCATAGGATTCTAGATTCTTGCTTTAGTAATAAGAAAAGATTTCCTGGGGCTGGAAAGGTGGCTCAGTGGTACAGCACTTGCCTTGCACGCATGAGGCCCTGGATTCAATTCCTCAGCACACATAAGCAAAAAGAAAAAAAAGCTGGAAGTGGCGCTGTGGCTCAAGTGGTAGAGTGTTAGCCTTGAGCTGAAGAGCTGAGGGACAGCGCCCAGACCCAGAGTTCAGGCCCCACGACCAGACCCCCCAAAAAATAGAAAAAAAAAGATTTCCTATTCATCTATAGCTTAAAAGTGCCAGGACCGAGCTGGGTGGCAGTGGCTCACGCCTGTAATCCTAGCTACTCAGGAGGCTGAGATCTGAGGACCAGCCTGTGTGGTAGCGCATAAGCCTTGAATGGAAAAGCTCAGGGACAGCACTCAGTCCTGAGTTCAGCCCCTGCCCTAGCACACAGAAAGAGTGTGCGGCGCGGAGGGAATCACAATGTCCCCTCTCCACAGTCCCTTGCTGACCTCGGCCCAAGGAAGTGTCCTGGGATGTCAGGTCCTGTCTCCGGGTGAGGCCTGGCGGGGTCAGGATGTTCCCAAGGTCACATTGAAGGGCTTCATCTTTAAGCCATGGCCACGTGGTATGCTGCCCACCTCTGTGACCAGCCCCCTCCATCCACACCTGCCCCAGGCCTGGCTGTTCAGAGCTGCTCCTTGTAGCTCTGGCCACGGGCGACAGGCAGGGGTCCAGTGAGGCCTGGCCAAGCCAGGAACATGCAAGGGGTCAGGTGGTGTGGTTAGGAACTGGCTTCTGATGCAGCAGGTGTGTGTGTGTGTGTGTGTGTGTGTGTACATTGACTAGGAAGCAGACCTGCACAGGCGGGTATGGCCTCTCGGAGGAGGTCTCTGCAGGCAGGGGAGCATGGGGAGAGACAGCAAGCACAGGGGTGGCAGGGAAGGAGCTGGAGGTGCCAGGTGGGAGGCAAGCGAAGGGCCTGGCACCTCTGCAGGACCTGGGTTTTTTGTAAGGTGTGATGGACGCCAGGGAGGGGTGAGGCCAGGCAGGCAGGAGTGAGGGAGCGGCTGCGGTTTGCAGGCCCAGGAGGCGGGGTCTCAAGGTGGAAGGCGAGGGAGGCCTGGTCAGCTCGGGCTTGAGACGGTTTGGCTTTGTGTCTTTTGCTTTTGCTGGCACTGGGGTTTGACTCAGGGCCTCACATGTGCTGGGCCTGCTTGTTTCCTGAGCTGGCTCTCTACCATGTGAGCCACAACTCTCTCCTGCCTTTTCCTGCTTTTTTGAGATGGAGTCTTGCAGGTTTTCCCGCTCTGGCTGGCGAGGATTCCAGCCAGGAGTACCCTGCTGGTTTAAGCTTTTTTTTTTTTTTGGGTCCGGTCGTGGGGCCTGAACTCTGGGCCTGGACACTGTCCCTCAGCTCTTCAGCTCAAGGCTAGCACTCTACCACTTGAGCCACAGCGCCACTTCTGGCCTTTTTTCTTTTTGCTTATGTGGTGCTGAGGAATCGAACCCAGGGCCTCATGCATGCAAGGCAAGCGCTCTACCACTGAGCCACCTTTCCAGCCCTGGTCTGAGCTTTTTGACATGCTGTGTAGTCCAGGCTGGCTGGCCTTGTACTTGTGGTCCTTCCGCCTAAGCCTCCCAAGTGCTAACCTCAGCTACTCAGGAGGCAGAGATCAGGACTGAAGTTGGAGATGAGCTTGGGCAAAAAGTTCAAGAGACCCTATCTCAACCAACAGCTATGTATGGCAGTGTGTGCTTATCATCCTAGCTATGCAGGAGGCTGAGATCAGGACTATGATTCAAGGCCAGCTCAGACAAAAAAAAAAAAAAAAAAAGTGAGACCTTATCTTAAAAATAATCTAAGTCGGGCTGGGAAGGTGGCTCAGTGGTAGAGCGCTTGCCTTGCATGCATGAGGCCCTGGGTTCGATTCCTCAGCACCACATAAGCAAAAAGAAAAAAGCCAGAAGTGGCACTGTGGCTCAAGTGGTAGAGCGCTAGCCTTGAGCTGAAGAGCTGAGGGACAGCGCCCAGGCCCAGAGTTCAGGCCCCATGATCAACCAAAAAAAAAAGCAAAGTCAAAAGGACTAGAAGCATGGCTCGAGTGGTACAGTGCCTGAGTAGTAAGCTCAAGGACCTGAGTTCAAATTCTGGAACCAGCACCAAAAGAAAAAGAAAAAAGGCACTGAGAACCCCAGGCCTCTGGCCAGGCACCCCTCTCTCATGCGCTGGCGTAGGTGTGTGACTCAGTCATGGTTACTGGTTCCCAAATAACGACTCAGGAGGAAGAGGACAAATTTTAACTTTAAAATAGATCAGCATATTGTTTGTGGGGGAAGACAACAAAGGTGACCTCTGGGGGGGGAGGGCTGCACCCCAGTCCACCCCTGTGGAAATCCACCCTGATTGACAGGACCCCAGCCCCAGGGGGCGGGACTGGCCTGGGGAATGACCCTCTGGCTCTCCTGCTGCCAGGGGTCCCAGAGACCATTTTGCCCGGATGAGACCCCAGACATCCCAGGAGAGCAGTGAGCTGAAGTGAGGAAACTCCAAGCATGGCACCCGCCATCCTTGTGAACACCAAACTGGCAGAGCCGTGGACTTGACCCATGGCTTGGGTTTTTAAACACCGCCTTGTAATTTGGATTTCTCCAAACACAAACTCTGGGAGCTGGCAAAGAGGGTCAGGGTGAGCCGGCCGGGGAGGGGGTCCCCCTAGAAGGGGGAAAGGGGGTGGCCACTCACGGAAGGGGAAGTCTTTCCCAAAATAATTCATCTCTAGGACTTGAATCGGAGGTCTGGCAGGCCCCGCAGCAAGATGGCAGGGGCGAGAAGAGGGAGTGGGGCGGTGGTTCTAGGGGTGGGTGTAGTTGCCCATGCGCAGTGTCCCCTGGCGCACAGCCTGCTCTTCACGGTGCGCTCTGAAGGCTCGCTGGCGATCGGCCTCCGTGGGGAACGTGTCCAGCTGGGAGACGGCCTACGCACAGAGGGGAGGAAGACAGGAGGGTGAGCTGCTTCTCCCTCCTCGCCCCACCCCTGCCTCCATGCTAAAGAAAGACCAGAGGGGAGATGTTAGACGGAGCGCCGTGAGGTCCTGTCTGGTTTGTGGCTGGGGCAGACATTCGTGTAATCCATGACGCCGGACAGTGAGCTAGGGTCATTTGTAGAACTCAGTAGCCGGTGTCACCCACGCCTGCTGATTCTCTACAACTAAAACTTGAAACAGCCGGACGCCAGTGGCTCACACCTGTAATCCTCTCTACTCTGGAGGTTGAGACCAGAGGATCGTGGTTCAAAGCTAGTCCAGGTAGGAAAGTCCATGAGGCTTTTATCTCCAATTCAACACAGAAAACCAGATGTAGTGTGGCTCCAGTGGTGAGTGCCAGCCTTGAGCACAAAAGCTGAAGGGCAGTGCCAAGGCCCCGAGTTCAAGCCCTAGGACTGGCCTCCCCCCCCCACCCCCTCAATCAAGCTCTACCCCAGGGGGCTCTTGGCAGCCTGAGGGCCGGGGGTGCCCCTCAAAGGCACCAGAAACAGAGCTTAAGGAGTCTCACCTTGCCTTGCTGGAAAATAAAACCAAACCAACTGAAACCATGCAAGGGAGACAGAGTCAAGTGTGGCATCCCAGTAGTGAAGACGCCACGGTCAGCCACGTGTGCACGTGTGGCTGGGTGGCCCAGCAGCAGAGCGCTCGCCTAGAGCATGCAAGGACCCGGGTTTGACCCAACCCTGCAGAACAAAAAGGGTGAGATTTTCCTGCCATCAGTCCTCAGCCTGCTCTCCACCGTGAAGGCTGGCGTGGGTTAGAAGACTTTTTGTGTCTCCCCCCGGTCCACGGGGCCTGTGGCCTCCCTGCAAATCGAGATGCGCAGTGCCCACCGTACCTCCCCACTGTCCACGGGAAGGCGGGGCGGGCACAGGGAAGACAGGGCGCAGGCTCGCTGCTCACTCCATTCATTCACCACCTTGTTCACCCATTCCTTCATTCTCTTACTCATTCGTTCACGTCTACCTCAGCTCTGCCTCAGGCCTGGGCACAGAGGTGGAACTCCTAATCCCGGGCGGCCATGGCCACAGCTGCGCAGCTCCTGCTCTGCAGGCGACACGGTGAGCCCCCGTGCAGGGAGGGCAAGCAGCAGGAGCCCCTGGGAGCCAGGCTGGGAGGAGAGGCCTGTGCAGGGGCTTGCGGGTGAAGCCGGCAGGCCTTGGGCTTCAGGGGTTTTGTGTGTGCGTGTCTCACCCTGGGGCTCTTGTCATGCAAAGCTCACGTCTGCCAGGGTAGAGCCTCCACACAGTCTCTTAACACCCCTCTGCACCCAGGGTGACCTATCTTCCTTAGATCATGGTCTTGTTCTTAGATCAACCCCCTCCCCCCCCCAACCGTTTCAAAACAAAGACAACAAGCCAGGCAGTGGTGGCTCCTGCCTGTAATCCTAACTACTCAGGAGGCTGAGATCTGAGGATGGAGGCTCTAAACCAGCTCGGTGAAGAGTCTGTGAGACTCTCATCTCCAATTAACCACCAGAAAGCCGGAAGTGGCGCTGTGGCTCAATGGGGTCGAGCACTAGCCTTGAGCTTAAGAGCTCAGGGACAGCACTCAGGCCCAGAGTTCAAGCCCCATGACCAACAACAGCAAAGAAGGAAAGAAGGAAGGAAAGAAAGAAAGGAAGGAGAGAAAGAAAGAGAGAGAGAGAGAAAGGAAGAAAGAACCTCTCTGTATAGTATCTTTACTATGAAAATATGTATAAAAAAAGTTAACTCCCCCTCGGTATAACCCCTGCTTTCACTGTATTTGATGTCGGTATAATTTGTGGAGGGGAAGGGAAAAAACAAATCGTTTAAATAGGAATACAGGTGGATCTATTGCAACAATGAGATGTACAAGTCATTTTGTCAAAAACGAACTTTACAACTTTGGTGGGGGGGGGAGGATTGGGTGGGGGGGTGGGGAGAAGATGGGAAGGGATGGAAGGGGAAACAAAGGAGGAGGCTACAATGCTTGATAAGAAATGTACTCATTATCTTGCCCATGCAATTGTAACCCCTCTGTACAGTATTTTCACAATAAAAAAAAAAGTTAAGAGAAAGAATACTTGGGTGTTTTTTTCTTTTTGTTTAGGTATGAAACTGGCACTCGAACTTGGTACCTAATATTCTGGCTCATTTGCTAGCATTCTACCAACTGAGCCACTCCTGCAATCCCGTGTTTGTTTGTTTAATCCTTTTGGTACTCCGGAGGCTGAGAACTGCAGGCTGAGATTGGAAGCCAGCCGGGGAAGACAAGTCTGAGAGTCTCTGATCTCCAATTAATCAACAGAAAGCTGAAAGGGAGGTGTGGCTCACTGAAAATGTCCTACAATCTTGATTTACTCAATGACATCACTGAGTACTGAAGTCCACCTGCCCGCTCAGCTAGCGCAGGCATTATAAAGCTTGTATGTGGCGGGTGTGTGTGTGTGTGTGTGTGTGTGTGTGTGGCCCGCTCAGCTCCCACCTTTACTACAGGTGGGGGCGGGAGTGTCCTTGGTGACACGCCCGCTCTGTTCCCCACGCACCACGGCACCGGCTGGCTCCTGGGTGGGCACAGCTCTCACTGCTGGGGATCAGACATGGGGGGATTCTTGGCCTCGCCAAGGTGCAGCCGGGCGTCTGAGGAGTGCTTGACCTCGGTGGGACAGGCCAGGACACGCATGGAGGAGAGGAAGGGACAGCGCTCTCCTGGTGTCAGGTGTCAGGGGAGGTGTCCTGGTCCAGCTGGGACTTGAATGGACCTGGAAGGTTTGGGATCTGAGGTCTTGGAAGGGAAACAGAGTCAGAATGGGGGGTGGGGGTGGGGTCACACGCCTCCTGGGCTTGGCCTGGCTTCCAGTCAGGAGCTAGACACCAAAGGGCCTGGCGCCACTGGCTCCCCTGGAAGCCAACACGAGTGGACTACAGAAAGGGCAGGGAGGCTGGGGCTGCCTGCACCCACGGACCCGTGAATCCCAGACCCAGCGCAGGAGCACGGGGGAGGGCCCTTCTGGTCCTCAGAGGGCAGCAACTGGGCCCCTCTGCAAGACCAGCGGCCCACGCAGCCCTGGCCTGCTCCCTCCACCCCTCCTCGTCCACAGCAGAGCGGCACCAGACCCTGTGGGTGTCAGCCATGGTGTGCTTACGTACCCCAGAAGAACCGGAAAAAGACAATCATCGCTACCTCTGCCTCCATTCTTCCTTTCCTTGGTGGCAGCGGCTGGTACGAGGGCTTGAACTCAGGGCCTGGGCACTGCCCCTGAGCTGTTTTGCTCAAGGTTGGTGCTCTACCACTTGAGCCACAGCTCCACTTCCAGTTTTTTTTTTTGGTCGGTCATGGGGCTTGAACTCTGGGCTTGGGCGCTGTCCCTCAGCTCTTTAGCTCAAGGCGAGAGCTCTAACACTTGAGCTACAGCGCCACTTCTGGTTTTCTGGTGGTTTATTGGAGATAGGAGTCTCACGGTCTCTCCTGCGCGGGCTGGCTTTGAACCGCGATCCTCAGATCTCAGCCTCCTGAGTAGCTAGGATTACAGGCGTGAGCCACCAGCGCCCGGCACCTTCCAGTTTTTTTGCTAGTTAATTGGAGATAAGAGTTGCATGGGATTTTCTGTCTGGGCTGGCTTCGAACCACGATTCTCAGATCTCATGTGCTTGAGTAGCTAGGATTACAGGCATGAGCCACCAGTGCTGGGCTGGCTGTCTCCATTCTTCAGGTGGGAAAACAGAGACTCTGGGGCTCAGCCATAGCCCCAATCGCACCGGTCAAAGCGAGGGCATTGGGACTCGAGGCCCAGAGCCCAATCAGCATGAAGCGGACTGGCTGGCTGGCTTGCTCATGGGTCAAGGGGAGGCTGCAGGCAGCTAGCGGGGGCTCCTGTCCACCCTCCTGCCTGCACGCACTCTGTGGAGCCACACATGAGGAGCCCCGCATGATCACGACCTGCAGCGCCCCGGAGTCCAAGGATGAAGAGCTACAGAGAAGGAATTCCTTCCGAGATGCTTCTAAATTAAGCCATCTGCAGTCTGTCTCTGCCTGGAGCTAGGAAGCCGCATGGAGCTTTGGCAGGAGACAGCTCTGCCGAGCGGAGCTCCGAGCCGCTCGAAGGTCGATGGAGGTAAACGGCCGGCATGCAGCCCCGGGGCTGGGCAGGCCGGTGAAGGCTCCAGTCCGGCTTGAAGCCGGGGAGCATAGCCCAGGTTGAAATAGCACTGCACACGGAAGGGCCATGCTCCGGAGACACGGGAGAGGCCCTGGCCCAGTGGCAGAGGCCACGTCACATGCAGCAGGGACTATACACAGGAAACACACAACGGGTGGATGTTAATTGTGTCAGAGCCACTGTATTACGACTGTGGATAGACAGGTGCTGGTAGTTCATGCCTGTAATCTTAGCACTCAAGAGGCTGAGATCTGATGATCCTGGTTCAAAGCCAGCCTGGGCAGGAAAGTCCATGAGACTTTTTACCTCCAATTAACAAACAAAAAGCCAGAAGTGGGGATATAGTGCAAGTGATAGAACACCAGCCTTGAATGAAAAAACTAAGAGCATGAGGCTGTGAGTTCAAGTTCCGGTACACATGTATGTGTGCACGTGTGCGTGCACGCACATGCGTACACACACACAGATCATGGAATCATGGACTGGAGCAATCTGTTTTTATGGAGAGCAGGCAGGTTCTCTAAGGAGCACGGGAGAACTTGCTTGGAGGAAAGGAAGAGGAAAAGATGTCCCAGGGGTTGGGAGGAATCCGGGCAAATCAGAGGAAGGAAAGCAAGCCAGTGTGGCGGGGGGACAGCAAGGCCAGGCTGGGCGTGAGCGGCACCAGGTCTCAGGAGAGACTTGGCCCAAAGGTGGACCAGAGCCATGGTGAGCCTGGGCTGAGCTGAGGCCACAGCCGGCCCTGTGCTCAAAGCACTGTGCTCTGTGCTCCACTGGTCTCCACCTTCGCCCTGGAACCGCAGCCTGG